GCATCAAGTACTCCCCCACAGTCCAACCAGAAGCTTCTCCTGCCTCCTGCTCCATCTCGGCACAGCTCTGTTTATAAACAAACACATAGCATCAAGTTAGCTTCAGAAATGATTTGAAAATTCAGAGTAAATGCTTGCTGAATTTATTGTTCTTCTGATTAGGGCTTCTGGGATAAGACTGAAAAATGCCATGTGAATATTGGGTTAAACAGCTAAGCATAATGCACAAAAAGTGTATACGCAGAAATGTAAAAAAAATGAACACAGACTTTAAAGAAGCCAGAGGATGTAACTTTTAATGAAAGGTCTGTCTCCCGGTGGGTGGATCACTATACCCGGCTAAAATTAAAAAGATGTAGCATAGCCTTTTGTAGTTGGGACTTCAAGGCTCATCGTTTCAAGAAAAGCCAAAGACAACACAGGTATAAAAAGGAGATGAGAAAAGCAACATGTGTAGTGATTTATAGCACCACTGAATTCCATGAAAGGCGCCATTCAAAATGTTTTTTTTTGCCACAGGGTATGTCTTATATGAAGGGATTCTTTATAATCCAGTAACCTGTGTTGGCAACACCAGGATAACAGACAAGGTGATGGGAGCAATAGGTGATTCTAGCTGCAATCACAATAGGCACATGTACTGAAGATAATCAGATCATCATGGCCAAATATAAAACTCCAGTTGTATTTACAACCCTGCAGAGAAAGAGCTGGTCTACATCGACCACACTGTTGGAACACTGAGCTCCCCTGCCTGAAGGGGCATTTTGAACCTTTAAAGTATTTCAATGAGGCCAGAAATTCTGAAGTTATCGAAGCTGTAACAGTAACCAATCAGATCCAAATGTGCTATGGAAAATGATAATTGGAAAGTAAAAAATTTCAATGTACCTAATTGCTTGGAGACAACTTTCTTTCTTAAACACTAATGATTGAAGGACCTCTATCATACAGGATAGTGACCAACATTTCCCAATTCTATCACATGGCTAACCAATGCAAAACGGTGATGCAGACCTAAAGCAGATTTATCATACTTGGGCAGTTTATTTTGTAAATTCTTCCCTGGCAGCTCTAAATTAACACTGAGACAAAATTAAACCTGCCCCTAACCACTTTAAGATTATGTCTCTGTTTTGAGTGAAATCTGTCTGATCTCCAGAAATAAAATGAACCAGACCTGAGCATAGCTCATAGGCTTAGTTTACAGTCATTCAGGAGGTGGCAATATAATCTGCTGAATACCTGCCAGCCGTAGCTGCACTGATCTGTCAAAAGCAACCAAATACCAAAGAATGGGGGACTAATCTGTGCATTACATACTGCAGGCTGCTATGCTTTCTATGCTAAGTTGTACATGTTGTACACTCCTGACCCCTGCACTCTGTGCATTGCGCACTCCTGTCCCTTGCACGCTTTGTGCTATGCACCTCTGATCCTACACTCTGTGCATTATACACTCCTGACCCTTGCATTCTGTGTTGTGCTCCTCTAACCCCTGCTCTCTGTGCATTATACACTCCTGACCCTTGAATTTTTTGTTATGTTCCTCTGACCCCTGCACTCTGTGTTATGCTCCTCTGACCCCTGCACTCTGTGTTATGCTCCTCTGACCCCTTGCACTTTGTGTTATGCTCCTCTGACCCCTGCACTCTGTGTTATGCTCCTCTCACCCCTGCACTTTGTGTTATGCTCCTCTGACCCCTGCACTCTGTGTTATGCTCCTCTGACCCCTGCACTCTGTGTTATGCTCCTCTGACCCCTGCACTCTGTGTTATGCTCCTCTGACCCTGCACTCTGTGTTATGCTCCTCTGACCCCTGCACTCTGTGTTATGCTCCTCTGACCCCTGCACTCTGTGTTATGTTCCTCTGACCCCTGCACTCTGTGTTATGCTCCTCTGACCCCTGCACTCTGTGTTATGCTCCTCTGACCCCTGCACTCTGTGTTATGCTCCTCTGACCCTGCACTCTGTGTTATGCTCCTCTGACCCCTGCACTCTGTGTTATGCTCCTATGACCCCTGCACTCTGTGTTATGCTCCTCTGACCCTGCACTCTGTGTTATGCTCCTCTGACCCCTGCACTCTGTGTTATGCTCCTCTGACCCCTGCACTCTGTGTTATGCTCCTTTGACCCCTGCACTCTGTGTTATGCACATCTGACCCCTTTACTCTGAGAGCGAGTCTTGGATAATCTCTCTGAGTAAAGACAATACAGCTTCCCTACTGGGGTGGATGGAAAGGTGTAATATTAATCTTATACAGGTTAATGGTCAGAGGAAACATGGTGGCCCTCCTGCAGACTGGGTTGGAGAAGCTCCTCCACTTGGGACAGAAATATTTATTAACAATCTCCCTCAAGAAATCTAAGAAGATAGATTAATTCCACTTTTCCAGACTGTTGGAATATTGTATGAGTTTTGTCTTATGATGGACAGATTATACAAGTGAAAGCAAACACCTGAAAGACAGCATGTGTAATGGATTTGGTGTACTCAGGGTTGGAGGTTGCGGGCTGTCTGGGATAGGCTCCCTGGCTTGACTGGGTGCCTGGCTGTTGATGAGCTTACTAGTAATTCAGCCATTGTTAGCTGTTGGCTGTACTGTTTACTGTTTGCACTGTTTAGGATAATGTGATTAAGCTCTTACCTAATCCGTGTGGGATGTTTATCCCAATGTGTAATATTTTTTTTATTGTTCATGTGGGGACTGCCCATATTTCTGAAGTGTATACAAACCTGTATTTCTGTTCAATAAAGTAGTTCCAGTTTTGCACCTAGGCTAATGTCGTCTAGCTCTTGGGTACAATGCTATAATACAGGGGTGACAGGCGGTCCATCGCACTGTACATTACACACTCCACACCCCCATATTCTGTACATTACACACTCCTGGTATTTCTGTGGTATTTTATGTGCTTTGAAGAAAAACCCTGCTAAAACCACATCACTTTAAGATAAGCCACACCAGATCTGGCTGCTCTATGTACAGCTAGACTGCTAGATAAACAACTGGAGCTCTGCAATAAAGTGGAAGAAGCTTAACCTTTCTTGTTGTAGTATTGTCTGAATATGTTCTTATTTATGTTATAAGACTGCAGTACATAAAAAAAGAGTACAAATACAAATTTCTCAATACAGAGAGCAAAAAATAACAATTATTAATTACAGTACTAACAATTAATCAGGTATGGAAAGTACATCCAATGGAAAGTCCTAAGCCAACTAAACAAAGCAATATCTAATAAAATATACACAAAAAATCCTGTTAGCACGCAGTGCAGTTGCTAATAATTAAAGCCCAACTCTGGACGGTGAAAAAATGATCCCTTACAGTGGATCTGTGCCTGCACTGTAAGTGTTAATTGCTCATTTTGGTCTAGGGGCACAAAAATAAAAACATTTGTTTACACAATCTTCCACTCCTCCCCCCGCAGCTAGGCAGGTCCCCACAGCTATTTTTTCACCCACATACCAGCAGTCTAAGGTCCTGCATTCATTGTGATGACATGGAGGTAAAGTTCATAGCTGAAGCACGTGGGAGCGTCATCTACCAAGAAAGTAGAGGATCATGTAAGTAGAAACTGTTCCTACTCTCCCCAGACAAAAAAAGTTATTAATCCTTGCAGTGCGAGCGCAGCCCTCCTGCAAGGGATAATTTTTTAGTTGCCCAGAGCTGGGCTTTAAAGAAGACCTGATCTCTGGAAGCAAGCAGTTAGCAAATGATGAGTCTCTAGCAGACTGACAACTCATGGGGCCCCCGGGCAATAGGGGATCATGGGGCCCCTGTGTCCTTGCCCAAACTCAAAAAAGCTTATGAAAAAGGTACCAGGGGCATCTCATGGGGCCCCCCCTACTGACCCCGGGCCCTCGGGCAGTCCCCGAGTTTCCAAATGGTCAGTCCGCCCCTGGTCTCTAGTAATGCCTGTGGTCTCCCTGCAGCTGCTCATATCTCCTAAGTGATCTACCATACCTTGTTCTGCATTGTGTCTATGTGGAGGTGGACATCTTGTTAGAGGCAGGGTTTTGCTTCCTCATGTCAGAGGCTTCAGAAAAGAGAACAGTGAGCAGTACAGTAGTGACATCACCAAAATTTCACTTGAATCTTCTGAAATTAGCAGTCAGAGGCAGAAGTGCCTTCAGTCTCACACTGCAGATATACAGCTTTGAGGCTGTAGGCACAGGATTGCCTAGGCACACTCACTTACCAGGACTCCTTGCTCTCCTACTTTTCAGGTGCCATTCTAGACAAAAGGTAGGTTTTCAATGTACTACTTAGACACAAATAACATTTCAAAATGTTCCCTACAACATAGCAAATCTTTACTATTTGAGTCCAGTTCCACTTTAAAATTTGGCAAATCAATCCAAATTCTTGAATTATAGGCAGACCAGCATTTCCAGGGTTTTGTAAGCAGTCCTTAACCTCCTCGGCGGTATGATTCTTTCCGATTTTTTGTGCTGAAAGCGGTATCATTTTTTTGCATGGAAATATGTAGTTTTTTATTGTAGGCTGTAATTTTTAGGAATAACTCGCTGAAATCTGTTCGAACAAGAGTCTAGTAAACATCCCGGGTAGGATAAAATTTAAAACACGAAATCATAAATTATAATTTAATAAATAATCATAAAAAATAATATTATAATAATAATAAATTTAATTCAATAATATAATCAAACCAAAAACACTGAAATTTGAAATACAGAGGTAAATTCGCACATCGCTGAGCAAAGTCGCAAAATCGTTTTCAGTGTCTGATGACGAATTTCCCCCACGAATCATTATCACACAATTCTGCAAGTGGTTCTGATTTACTATCGCTGTTCTCTAGCTGGTCTAAAACCGCTTATGACGTAAAGGGACGCTTTTTGGATGCCATGGACTTTTCTAAGTTTTCAGGCAGAAAGAACAGTCAAAATGCAGGCAGGGCACAGGACAAAGCAGTAGGGACAAAATGTATGTAAAATGCATTGAAACTGCAATGTTTTACTATGTAATAATCATTTTTAAAAAAAATGAAATTTTTTAAAAATTTCAAATTTGCCGCCGGTTCTGGCGCCCGTACGTCCCGACGTCACAGGGACCGGAACACAGAAGCCGGATGACGGCATCGGCCGGAGGAGATGGCCCAGGGACGCTGCAGGGGACACATCGCGGGAGCGCAGGACAAGGTAAGCTCTGCAGGAACTCCCTATGCAGCGCTGCATGGTAAGCCCGAGTGTAGCTCGGGGTTACCGCTTTTGGTACTGACATTTTACCCCGAGCTACACTCGGGAATACCGCTAAGGAGGTTAAAGAGGAACTACACTGCATATAAGCAGCACAAACCAAAACACTATTTAATTCATTTTTAATATGCAAATCAATCTTCCCATCCATCCATGTCTTCATGCGTTATTTTGCTGAGAAATCACTGTTGAAAAATACCCCTTAAGCATTTCTGGCCGTAGCCATCTTAAGTAAGGGCAGATGAATTTACTTTCTGGAATCTGCAATCAATCTGCCTTAGAGAAAGCCCCTCCTCCCCTCCTAAAGACTCCTGGGATGTATGACATCATTTGCCTAGGCATAGATGTAAATGTAAATGTAAAGTAACCTTTAAAACAAATAAATATGATATACTTTCCTATCTATTTACTAATTATAACAGCATAAGGATTAAAAATAGTCAATGTTGATTGAGAGATTTAAGTTCCATTTTAAGGTGACACCGTTAATACAAAAAATATTGTGAAAATGCCTGCTGTAAAGCAAAATGAATATGAATACAAGAATATGTAAACCCAACATTCCTGATATGTGCCTGCTGTACCATGTAAACGTGTCCCGTTCTCATATTGCTTCCTTTGTGTGTAATCCTTGGTGTCCCTGCCAGTCCCTCTGCTTTCGTATTAAAAAACTGACAACACTAGACATGAGAGATCAGCGTGGTTAGTCCTCTAGCTGTGCTGGGAACTCAGTGTGCTCTCCTCCAACGATGAGACATTTGCTCACATGTCTCCCCCTGCACAGCCATTCACTGGGAAGTTCAGTGTTTTGATGTTTATCCTCCCTCAGCTCTATTTTTTCAGCTGCATAAGGAGCTTAAAGGGTATGTGATCACTTATAAAACAGGGAAAAAAGATGTTTACAATGTTTATATCTATGCACAAATGTTTTGCCTTTCATTTCTATTTTAAAGTGAACGGGTTGTTTTACAAGGTGAGGGTTTATGTATACTTTACTCCTCACCTTTGCAGTCTCATGCCTTTTTAATGTATACAATAGACAGTCATTGACAGGTAAACAGCATGCCTAAAACATAGTAAATGCAAATCTAATGTTTTCGGAAGATTGTTGTTAATATAAATGGTATGGTGAAAAGGGTTTCTTTAAGCATAACAACATCAATGGGAATTTCAATGGCGGTGTGTCAGCGTTGTCAGCTCAACAATGGAAGTCACCTGGTAACTGCTTTTTTGGCAGGATCAACAGGCAAGTTAGGGGAGATATAGTGACCAGAGAGAGATACCACACAGCTCTTTCGTGTTCATTGTGGCTTATAACATATTTATTTTTTCCTTGCCTATAGATACACTTTAATAGCAGAAAATATTTTCAGCTTAATTTCAGCACCTCATATTATTCTGATACCCCAAAAGTGACTTGGTAGCCTTCAACTTTATAATACCTAATGTAAACTCAGAGCAGGTACACTGAAAGAAGGAAGTCCAGAGTGCTGAGACTTTGTTTCAACAACTTTAATACTTTGAGTATGGATTACTCCACAGTGCCTGCAGCTACAGAGGTCAGTGAAGGTTCATTTTAAAGCTTATGTAAATATATAAATGTCCTTACCCTGGACACAGTTCTACTTTAAAGCAGTATTCTTTTTATATTAAACTAGGGCTCTTCATTAAAAACACAAAATAAAGATGTGTTATATAAATTTGTTTTCAATTTCTTACCCGACCAGCATTCTCCTTTAAAGCGGCTTCTGAAGCGGAAATCCCCTTCAATAAACCACCATTTCATTGTCAAACAAACTTCTAGCCCAGATCTGTTTTGTGTGATACCACAAGTTAAAACTCAATGATATTGATACAATAAAACATGACGATGTGGTAAGGGGAAAAAAAATGTGTTAAAGGATTTGGTTACATAAAGACTCAGGTTAAAAGGCTCTCGACTGTCTCACTCACTGTGGACATTCCCTTAACCACATTTCAACCACAATCGAAGGTATTCATTCCGATTGGGTAGCGCAGTTCACAAGGAAACAAAAGGTCTAAGCCATCGCTGGTGAAGATCAGAGGGGTCAGAGTAGCCAAACATTAGTACAGGAAAAAAAAAAATGAGAACAATATTTTCGTTCATTATGGAGTACGTGTTTCCCCGAAGTCACTCCTGTCTCTTGATTGCATAATTGCTTCTGAAAAGCCAAACAATAGAAGAAATGGAATGTCTTTGTACAATATACTAATGCACAATGCTTTCAAAAAGAAAGAGCATCTGATAGCTCAGCACAATGCAGATTGGAGTGGTAGGTAATAACTCCAAGCAGACAAACCACAGTCTTCTGAAAAACCACATAACAGGCAAGGAATGCTGAGAGGAGCCCATATAATTATTCATGATAGATAACTGTATTAAATATAAAATAGAAAGGACTGAGGGTATTACAATACTGGCACACGATAAAACATTGAGCATTGTATTGCTTGCAGATCTAAGTTACCGTCTTTAAGATAAAAAAAAATCTATCTATTGGTTGCAGAGAAAATGATTACTGCTTGAGTGAATGGAGTTCTGTTATTGTTGGAAAAAAGAATTCTTCTACGGAGAGGCATACAAACACAGATCACACAGTAGGGTATTAATATTGTAGCAGGAATATTTAAGCTGAAGTTTTTATAAAGAAAAAAACTGAAAAGGTGCCAGGAAACCCATAAAAGTACTCATGAAAATGTATTCGTCTCCTGCCATTCATTTGCAATGTGGAGATTGGCGGCTTCTTAATTGCCTGGCCTTCAAAACAGACTTCACGCCTCAATGCCCATTTAAACACCGTGGGTGGAGAGACTTATTGACTCAAGACATACTAATTGAGCATTGTAAAAAACGTAAGAAACTATATATTGGCAGATAGACATAGAAACAGATATATAGATGGACAGGCATGTAGGCAGGTGCAGGGGTGGACTGACCATTTGGAAACTCGGGCACTGCCCGAGGGCCCGGGGTCAGTAGGGGACCCCATGAGATGCCCCTGGTACCTTTTTCATAGGCTTTTTTGAGTTTGGGCAAGGACACAGGGGCCGCATGATCCCCTATTGCTTGGGGGCACCATGAGTTGTCAGTCCGCCCCTGGGCAGCTGCAGTTAGCTACTTTGGCACTAGGTGGATCTGCAGTAGAATAGTGTCTGATACAGCAAGCAGTGACACCAGGTGTTAGGCCCCTTTTAGGTAGAGACCTTCCACAGCGAGGTCAGGGGTGAGTCGGCACCCACGTATAAGCTAGGTGAGGTGGAGCACATATTCTCTTTGGGCATGGGACCTAAACACCCCACACCTGCGAGGGTTTAGGCAGCACCTTTAGGCCCTGGACAGGGCATGAGGCCAAGTGGAGTGGACCTGTACAGGAGGAGTCAGCAGTAGTTATTCTATCCCTTATGGAGGTGGGGGTTAGGCAAATAGCAAAAGGTCTTTTAGGCCAGGCTGGAGATCACTAGTACTGTGAGCCTGGGCAGAGGAGAGACTGTAGGTAAATGGCTGCACATGCTTTCACTCGATACTGCGTCAGATCATCCACTATATGTGATTGACTGTGTAATGTCAAATGACTCCGGAATATATGTCCTTGTGATATGACTTTAATGCTGTTTCCGAATGAACACCATCAGTAAAGTACAGTGAACTTATTTCTTGTGTGGACATTACTTCCTCAGGATTTAAAGATCTATGGCCAGCAATGTCATGTGGAGGCCTATGGCAAGGGGCAGGGCACAAGATGGCAGAGCTTTCGGCCTCAACAGGGACAGTGTTTTGGTGCTGGGTAGGGACTTGTGTTTTAGCACCCAAACTAGCCAGCTATGAAGCCCCTCTTACAGGCAGATGGATCAATTTCATAATATTTTCACTCAGCTGTTCAGCTCACTGAAAAGATAACAATTTGAATGTCCAATGCTATCAAACTGGCATCAGGAACTAAATTGGGGCACATGGGACCTCCTTGAGCAAAAACAAGATCCCCAAAAATGTGGCTTTCGATTATGCAAAACCTAATTTCAGTGAAAATACTTCAGCTGTAGTCCATCTCTTCTTTGCCTCACTGTTGATCAATGAAGACTTCTTTTGCTTAACAGACCAACAGTGAGATTTTTTTTTTTAACCAAAAAATTAACTGTGAAATCACAGCACACAAAAAAAAAGTGTACAGTAATAGCCACATCTCTGAAGAGCAAGGGCCTCAAACCCTGCACCCCAGGGTGCAAGGCTTCTCTCAGGGGCAAGGTGCACTATAGTCTGCCTAGGTCAAAGAAAAGTGGACGGACTTCCGGTTCCGGCGCCGCATGGGGTAGGGAAGACATCCTGCGGCTCCGGAGTATCTAGCCTGTAAATACAGCCTCCTGCACCGGAGGACTGCGGTATATGGCACAGGAGTGCCCCCCCTGCCTCCTCTGCTCCCGACCATCTATGGAGCGATACTTACGGCCAGCGGCATCCGGCCAGGATCCCGCTTCCTGCACACAGAGGGACAGGTCTCCCATCCGTGCAGCCAAGATGGCCGACGCTGACAACGCTGCAGACAGCAGCTTACCAACCCCAGAACCTGCTACACAGCGCAGCAACCACAGTTCCCCCACCCTGATGGCCAGCATGGAGACAGAACGAGGGCCAGACCCAGATCCAGGGTCAGATTACGGTAGGAGAGATGCACATCAGCCCCACACTCTTTTGTCAGGACATGCTGAGTCCAGTAGTGCCACAGACCAATACGAACAAATCACCCAGGCTGTTGCTTCTTTGTTGCTACCGACCATTACACAAGCAGTAGACAGAGCAGTGAACCAGGGAATAGAACAGCTTAGAAGAGATTTGGGAGAAAATGCCAAACGCATAACTGAAGTTGAACGCCGCCTCTCTGACTTAGAGGATGAATGTCAAGCTATGCAGGCGCGATCTACACAAGCCAAACGTGAGCAACAGGCCATTCTAGAAAAGCTAGATGACTTAGAAAACCGCTCACGTAGGAACAATCTACGGGTGGAGGG